ATTTGAGTCAAATCAGTGAACATGATTTTGACAGCTTATGCCTCTTTAAGATTTGAACAAAATATTAAGAAATCCAGAAAGAAGCTTAACTGATTTTACTATACTTAAAGTCCTTTTTGGTTTGATAGCTCTTCCAAGTTTGTAAAGGTTTTGGATTTCAAATATTTTTACCTCTAGCATCACTGAAGAGATATTGATTGTCAAAATGCACATCTGGTGCAGTAACATTGATACCATTCATGTTTTTAAATTGCTGGAATAGGGTCCAGGGATTAACTGATTGGAATAAAGAAAAAACAATGTTTTTTGGGAAAAAATGTAAAACTTGTTCCATCATGATCAGTCATTATTGGACCATTTAATGTGCCATTTAGGACAAGGTTTTCTACTGTTATAATCTTTTTGTTGGTCATATCGTGTAACAGCTGATACACACACTACGAGGATTCCATTACACTCGAGTGCATCAGTTTTCACAATTTTCAATGGGTATATAAAATGTCCTGTCTATATAAAATCAGAAGAATTCTTTCAAATTCATTGATGCAAATAAAGCATACACTCGCATTAAGTGTTTCCCTAGTTACTAACTTTTGTTTATTTTTGTTTTGAAGTGTCATCGCTGTCGTGTAGATATTTATGGGTTGTCATTGAATAAAAGATTTAACAGATTTTTGTGAAATGTAAATTTCAACCCAGTAATCAATTTAAAGGGGAATGATTATAAATAATGTTGAAAATTAAAATTATTCATGGATTTTTCTAGGTAACTGAAGAATGTGAATAAAAAGTCCTGTCAGCATAGACATTACTGTCAATATTTATAAAAGCTGACTTGTAAATTAACATAATCTGTATACTTAAACAGAAGTTAAATAGATGCAGCTCAGGCTATAAAAACAACTGTAAAATATAGCTGTAGATGTTGTGTCAAGGTCTGTGCAGACGGAATTTATAATGGGTGTGATATACTAATACAAGATCAAATTAAAGAGGGGGAAAAAAGTGCAGAGAAACTATCGCTAAATTTAAAAGAATGCAAAGATGATACATTCTGAAGTTTTAAAAAACACCATCCTTAACATTCTTAATGTTCTTCTTACAATTTATAAAGATACTCTTGCTCTGAGTGGGACGAGTATACGGCTTTATCTCTGTCCATCCATACATCTGTCTGTCTGCGTTTTCATTGCATTATTCTCAGGAACTACAAATCTAAGCTTTCTGAATTTGGTGTAAAACAACACGTGCACCGAGCATGCTTTACAGTGTGATGCTTTACAGTGTAATGCATTTATACATTCATTGGTCATCAACATCCTGTTTAACGAAAACTTATATATTCTTACACATAATGGCCAAGTATAAATTTTCATCACATTTTTTTCTCAGAAACTACAAATCAGAGCTTCCAGCAATTTGGTATGACACTTCTTGTTAGCATGCTATACTATGTGATGCATTGTCACAACTGTTGCTCATCAACTGTTTACCAAAAACTTATAGCAGGGGTATCATCTTGTTTTACAAGTTGTTTTTGTCATGATGTTCAATTTTTATTGAGATTAGGTCATAGTATTTAAGGTTGTCCTGCAAAATTAAGATTTTTGGCCTGCTGGTAGGATATGATCACAGACAATGCTGCTAACATAATTGAATCATTTTTTTAAAAAAGTAGCTAGGTGAGCAAACATCACCATGGAGCCTCTTGTCTTTTCACCGAGTTAATTGGCTTTCAGATTTTCATTGTTTATCATGTTTAGCTTTCAGTTCACTTCTAGTTGCCATTAAAAATCATTATTTCGACACTTTATCCTGATTTATCGTTATTCATATGCAATCAACTTGGACTAAATGTTGTTGGGGATTTTCCTGGAAAAAGAGTCCAAGGGGTCGGTACTTAAGTTTAAAAACAGGATACCACCTACATCGTTTTCTGTTGGTATTTCTGCAAATAGTATTCTAATATTTGACTTTAGATGAACCTACCTTGATTAAAAAAAAAGAAAAAACATAGAAAACAATTATGTTATGTACCTGTAATCTTGCATATTTTTACAATTTGATCAGAACTGCAATTTTAAAAGTGTTATGATCTACTGATACCATGAAAGGGCAAAGTTGCTTTGATAAACATAAATAAATATTCATCTTGTTTGGATTAATGTTTTTGATTTTATATTTATGGCGCAGTTTAATGCATTAGATTAGAAAGCATGTCTCGTGCCTTCTTTCAGTTTATAATGATAGTTGCTCTAAGATAATAAAATATGTTTGCCTTCCTGGTATTTTTAGTGCTTTGTAGTCTATATGTGTTCCAATGATTAAATATATGATTGATGAAACCCCCTATAGTAGGAATTAAAAGAGATGTGTGGTAATTTTCACTCAGTTGGAACATCATAGAATTACATTATTTGTGTAATATTGCATATTTCTTTGTTTTTTTTGTTTAATTAATGTAGGATCAAAGAAATTGGAAAGTAGTTAAAAAATTCCCTAATGTGATATTGCTTTTTGTTGAATTGCTGTTAGATCAAAAACTAGAAATCAGTAATTAATTTTGTTATGTTATACTATCCACTTGCCAAAAAGAATTATACCATTTCATTCATTCATTCCTCTGTCCATCCCAGTTAAGTTAGATGTTACTGTCCTGATATATCCAACTACAAAACAAATTGGATGATGAATCATGGACTGATGTTAAATGTCCAGTGGCAAATATTACATGCATAAAATGTAAATGTGATATGAATATGAACCCTGCATTGTATACTAGACTCAGTCTGCATGAACACATGTCACCCTACCCTGACACATTATATTACAAATTGATTCAGTCAAAACAGTGTCTTCTCACAAGAACATGTAAACAATTTGTGAAAAACACCTTTGAAAAAAGATGAAATGATATGAACTGGTAAATGTAAATATTATGTAATACAAAATAACAAACTTTTAGTCTTGATAAACAAATATATGACTGGGTCTTTTGATATAGCTAACATGCACAAATAGACTTCTTACAAAAGGGAAACAAAGTATTTGAATAAAGCAACATCAAATAATTGTTGAAGGCCATATTGTGACCTATAGTTGAGAAATTCTACGTCATTAGGTCTCTGGTGGAGGGTTGTCTCATTGACAATCATACCACATCTTCCTTTTTTATATTGAGTAATTATGCGTGCAGATAAAGATTTGACAATGCTAGTATGGTAATTAATACAGTATTGTGGGATATATTCTTTATTACATCGGGCGTCCGTCTGTCCGTCCTGTCTTGTGAGCTCTCTCACGTGTACAATTCTTGCCAGATTTTTATAATACTTATATCATAGGTTTATATCAGCAATGTCTTGGACAAGTTCGAAAATCAGTGCCGATCATTTATTTTTAAAAGAGTTATGCCCTTGGAAACATTAATTATATGGAAAATTGCATCGTTAGCGCTCTCATGTGTTCAATTCTTGCCAGATTTTTATGAAACTTATATCATAGGTTTATATCAGCAATGTCTTGGACGAGTTTGAAAATCAGTGCCGATCAATTATTTTTAAAACAGTTATGTCCCTTGGAAACATTAAATGTATGGAAAATTGCATTGTTAGCGCTCTCATGTGTACAATTCTTGTTCTTAGGTATTTACAGATCACAGAAGCCATTTGATAATTATTGATTCTTTTTTGTGAGAACAATTTTCTCTTGATAGAAATCTGAGACATGAAATAGTTAATTAATGTTAATTTATATTCTTTAGAAATGTGAAATTATCTTTTAAATACTTTTCTTGGAACTTCTAAAACTTAGTTATTCTGTTTTGAAATCAACTCTTTTTTTTGAAGCTTTTATAGTCAATCAGTAGTTTGTGATGCTTTGCAACTAATTCACTCAATTGTTAATTTAGTGAAATGATGTTTATAGAGGGGCAGTAGGAGGAGTGTCATCCTGAATTCCCGAAAAATTAAAGCACTCTTTCCTGGATCGGGAAAATATAATAATTCAATACAAGAGGCAAAAGTCTTAGTCCATGTTAGCAGACATATTTTTTCCAAAGTACATGTACACGAAAGCATACAAAGTTTTTAAACATAATTGGAGTTAGAGTTATTTCCCTTGGCCACCAAGTTGGGGGACATTTTAGCCATGGTTGGTTTTCTTATTTGACTAACAAAATTTAAACATGTTGTAAAAGCAAGTCTGATAAAAGATCCTTACTAGATTATAGTGATGAATTACACAAGGCCTAAACAAATATCAATTGTTCAGACAGAATCTTCTTTTTCCTTTTATTAGTTAAGCAGTCAGTATTTAAAGTTGAATTAAGTTGATTTATGACAGAATTTGTTCCTTGTTTTCAGATTCTGATTATTGTACAGAATACAAATAAAAAGAGATGTGGGTCGTCTGCCATGCAGATAGAAACACAAAAAAGTGTACAAACTCCCCGGGGGGAGTTACTTCCTATATTTTTTGGTGGTACGAGTGTGCCGCAAAAAAGGGTAACTTTTTCATGCCCTGCTGGTTAGAACAGGGTCCCTTTTTCATGTCCTGCTGGTTAGAACAGGGTCGCTTTTTCATGCCCTACTGGTGAGAAAGATTCTTTTTTTAAACAAAGTATTTGTCTACGGGAAATTGACACAAGTATGTTTTTTGCTTACATTAATGAATTGTCTGGTGACAGGGTGTATATTTCTGAACTAGTCTAGAACATATAGGTCTCTGTCTAGAACAAAGTATACATTTTCTGAGCGTGTCTAGAACAGGGTATACATTTTCTGAGCATGTCTAGAACAGGGTATGTTTTTCAATATTTCTGTTTAGAACAGGGTATGTTTTTCAATGTTTTCTGGTTAGAACAGGGTATGATTTGGCAAGTGCTGTCGGCACAGTTATACCCGAAAGGATAGTCAGTAACCCCCCCCCCCCCCCCCCCCCCCCCCGGGACAAACTCACAAGCAATGCCTTCTGTTAAATTATCCATTTTTGTGTTACAGGTGAGAATTTTGAACCACATTACATGGAAGACAGTAGCAGAACATAGTCACCCAGCAATACTGGATTGTAGTAATGTGGTATGTAGATAATGTCTGTTACTAGGCAAGAAATTTAAACAAAACAGTCATTCATCAACACTTAATGGTAGTAAAGTGGAAAAGTTAATATCTGTAACTAGGCAACAGTTTGAAATATAAGTCATCCAGTAGCACTTGTTCAAGTATTGTTGTGATCAGTTAATGTCTGTAACAGTTTAAAAAAAATAGTATCGAGTTATATTAGTCAGTGTTGTCAATTGTTCTAAAAAAAAGGGGGGGGGGGGGGAAGATACCAAAGGGACAATCAAAACTTATATATAAGTCTAAGAGAGACCAACAAAACCATGACAACAAATTGAAAAAACGAGGAAAAAACAAACAACAGTCCACAATGCACCACATAAAAAACTAAAATCTTAACAACATAAACCCCCACAACCACTGGGGGCAATTTCAGTTGCTCTGGAAGTGTAAATTGGTAATGTCTGTTACAAGGTATTTGGTATATGGTAGATTAAATTATTGCTTGCTTTATGTCCAATGAAAAATATTTCATTCATAATCAGGAAACAAATTGTTCCTATGTTGTTCTGTAACACCAATGTTACAGGTTAGGGGGAGGGTGGAGAATTCAGATCAGTTAAATAGGCTTATACATGGGTAGATAATAAGCTTAATCATGGTTCCATGTCATTTTCATTTAGTTTTTATTTCGTTGAGGAGACAGATTTAATTAGATGATTTTTTGAAAAATATTTCAGGTGGTATATAAAGAAGTAGAAACAAGGGCTCCCTTGCCCCCAGGAGACAATATTGATGCCCCTACAGCAACACTTTTCATTCCACAGAGCAAATGTAAGTATTTGTTGTATATGTTTATGTGTTTCTGTGAAACAAGTTCCTTTTTTTTTTGGATAGGAACCACCTAATCTGTTTGTCCATCTGTCTGTTTGTCTGTCTGCCTTGAAAGTGTAACTCCTCCTTAAGAACTAGAGGAATATTGATAAAACTGTACACAGTTGTGTTGAACACTTCCTGTGATGTACATCAAATAATGTATTTCTGGTAACGGTAGATAATCAAATTTACTTACTTCAATATTCTAATAGTATTTTGGGGCAGGTGTTTCCTTTTGTTAGTTCACTCATAGTTTGAGTTTGCATTGGCTTGATGTATTTTTAAATTTTATTTACTTGAATTAGACATTGCCTGAAGGGAGCAGTCTCTATGTTTTCCCATTGCTAAAACTATTGTTCTTTAGATACAACTAAGTATTGTCCAGCATGTCAGGTGTCTGGACACTGTAATGTCATGTATAGTTTTCAGTATTTTTCTTTATACACATGTTGCTATATGTTTACTTTTACAAATTTTGACTTGGTTGGAGAGTTGTCTCATTGGCACTCATACCACATCTTCTTATATCTATATAAACTGATTTTGTTTTCAATGTCTTTGCCATAGCTAGCAGCACTCATCATTATTGGTTTTCTTTAAGAACTCCTTTAATCTTCACTTTTAAAAATCAATTGGCTTAAAATATATAGAAATGTGTAAAAAGATTGTATGAAATTGATCCATATACCGATACATTTCATGAACATCAGTATCAGTCACAATTATTTGCTATATATATACAGTGTATTATATAAAAACATATATTTTTTTCTTTAAAAAAATTTGAAGACATAGATGGTTAGATTTAAACAAATCATGCGTTGAAAGATACAGAATTGTCTAAAGTTATATGTTTATTTTGTCATTATTTTGTCAATAATTTACATACTGCTTATTGTACTTTTATTTATATATCTAAGATTTTTGGTTTTCTTTTCAGTTGAAGTACAGCAAGGTGACATAAAACTACCCATCACCAAACCAGATATAAACAAAGCTAATCCAAAGATAGGAGTTGGGATGGTAGCTTTCAGTTGTGATTGTAAATACATGTATACTAGGAATGGTCAGTATAAAAGATTTTATAGATAAAATAGGAATTCGGACCTTTTTCTGTGACTAAATATAAATATAAGCTTAAATCCAGCCATTAGTCATAGCCCCTGCCAAGTTTTTGGGAGGCGTGTAGGAATTTGTCTGCTTGTCTAGCCATATGCCTTGTAAGCAATACTCTTCCTGAACAGATATTGAGACTTTACACAGTTGTAAAACACAAACAGAGGATGTGCATAAAGGAATATAAACCTGGTCGTATGTGGTAAAGGGAAGATAATAGAATTTACTTACTTCTATACTATACCGCTGGATTGACAACAACACTTTAGTGAACTGCAAGTTTTATTGTGTCGACTAGTTTCGCCGATTAGATCGGCGTCTTCAGGACAAATTATATAGAAATTACAATCCCTGAAGTATAAAAACAGGAACAACAAAGACAATGGAGTAAACACATTATGACGTTAAAATTTAGATACCATTTTTTTTATACTTCAGGGATTGTAATTTCTATATAATTTGTCCTGAAGACGCCGATCTAATCGGCGAAACTAGTCGACACAATAAAACTTGCAGTTCACTAAAGTGTTGTTGTCAATCCAGCGGTATTTTATTTATTTATTTTTATTGACAACCCTGCATATCTTCAGGTATCCTCTTTAGTGACTCTACCTTCACTTCACCACAAAGGCGTTGGTTCAGCAGCTTCTTATTACTTCTATATTGAAAAATGTGACAATATTCTCTTGAATATGCAACTCCTCCTAAACAGCTAGACAAGTATTGATGAATTTTACAAAGTTGCAGAACACTATATACATGTACAAAATTTTGCGAGAATGATCTTAAAATTATTCCCATCACTTTTACATTTAGTTAAAAATAAATGTAGCAATGACAGTAATTAAAATACGATTTTAACACATCTGAAATCATGCCCCCAGGGTAGCATTTTACATGTCGGAATTTTAAAAAGATGTTACATATTTAAATTTCAGATAATATGCCAGGTACATTATGGATATGGGACATCAGAAGATTAGCCCTTTGTACAGTAATGATTCTTAATTCAACAATCAAATGTAAGTTTGTAAGATCATAGGGCCTCTGGTTTATATTTTGACACTTTGTACAGTAATGATTCTTAATTCACCAATCAAATGTAAGTTTTGAAGATCATAGGGCCTCTGGTTTATATTTTGACACTTTGTACAGTAATGATTCTTAATTCACCAATCAAATGTAAGTTTGTAAGATCATAGGGCCTCTGGTTTATCTTCTGACACTTTGTACAGTAATGATTCTTAATTCACCAATCAAATGTAAGTTTGTAAGATCATAGGGCCTCTGGTTTATATTTTGACACTTTGTACAGTAATGATTCTTACTTCAACAATCAAATGTAAGTTTGTAAGATCATAGGGCCTCTGGTTTATATTTTGACACTTTGTACAGTAATGATTCTTAATTCACCAATCAAATGTAAGTTTTGAAGATCATAGGGCCTCTGGTTTATATTTTGACACTTTGTACAGTAATGATTCTTAATTCACCAATCAAATGTAAGTTTGTAAGATCATAGGGCCTCTGGTTTATATTTTGACACTTTGTACAGTAATGATTCTTACTTCAACAATCAAATGTAAGTTTGTAAGATCATAGGGCCTCTGGTTTATATTTTGACACTTTGTACAGTAATGATTCTTAATTCACCAATCAAATGTAAGTTTGTAAGATCATAGGGCCTCTGGTTTATCTTTTGACTCTTTGTACAGTAATGATTCTTAATTCACCAATCAAATGTAAGTTTGTAAGATCATAGGGCCTCTGGTTTATCTTTTGACACTTTGTACAATAATAATTCACCAATCACCAATCAAATGTAAGTTTGTAAGATCAGAGGGCCTCTTGTTTATCTTTTGACACTTTGTACAGTAATGATTCTTAATTCACCAATCAAATGTAAGTTTGTAAGATCATAGGGCCTCTGGTTTATCTTTTGACACTTTGTACAGTAATGATTCTTAATTCAGCAATCAAATGTAAGTTTGTAAGATCATAGGGCCTCTGGTTTATCTTTTGACACTTTGTACAGTAATGATTCTTAATTCAGCAATCAAATGTAAGTTTGTAAGATCATAGGGCCTCTGGTTTGTATTCTGACACTTTGTACAGTAATGATTCTTAATTCACCAATCAAATGTAAGTTTGTAAGATAATATGGTCTATGATTTGTCTTTCAATAATGTACCAGGAGCATTATGGATCTTTATTACAAAAGATAATCTATTAGTGCATAATTGATTATTATTCAACCAATCAAATTATATGCAATAGAACTGAGACTTCATGTGTCTTTGTTCTAATTTAAGATAAAATGGGAGTTCAGGGAAAAATCCCTGCTTTTGTCTTGCCTTGACAGAGTCATTAAGCGAGACTTGGGTATGCTGTTTCTAATGGCGACAGCATCCTGGCTTTAAACTACATCTTTGGTCTCTTGTTTATCAGACAATATTCAAGACTGTGGAAAATGCATCTCAGATAACTTACTATTTGTACAGCACATGATGGTAGTTTTAACAGAACAGAAATGTTTTCAAACTTGTTCATCTAGGCTACATTTTATATGTCAAAATTGTCCTTTTTATTAAGTTATTACTTTATGTGATGTTTAAAATTTTGTTAAATGATCTGTTTCTTATTGTTTTAGCTGTTAAGTGGGATCCTCATCAAGCACGTCTAGCTGTAGCTACTGGTACAAGCAAATTATATATGTGGTCTCCTGCAGGAAGTTTGTCAGTGGAGGTACCAGTTGAAGGTATAAAATTATTACAATTTTTTACGAAAGATTAACAAAAATGGAGAAACAAGTCTCACACTCAAGCACTGCTTTGGGTCCTTTTATTTCTTGGGTATAAATTTTTCTAGATATAAGAAGATTTGAGAAATAATAATGAATCGACAGTATCAGATGAAAAAACTAAAGATTTATTATTTTGTACCTATTCACTACCAGAAATGCCCAAAACAATAGTTTGAAGAAAGAGATGGTCTCAAAAAAAAAAACTGTTATAAGGTAGATAACTCTTATGATCACAAAAGTTATCATAGAAAACCACAAAAAAAAGAAGATGTTAGGCATATGTCAATGAGATATGAACCTAAACACAAAGAAAAAAAGACGTCTCCAGGTCAACATATAGTTCTTCAACATAGACAAAATTTCTTTACAAAATGTGAAGCTCTAAATTGCCTAAGAAATTTGTTTTTCCAGGCAACAAAAAATTTTCAGTTCACCAAATATAAACAGATAATTCTACATGTGAAAATACCTGATTATTTCACCACTCTTTTCTTGGATTTTTTTACTTTATTTCCATTAAAAAGTTCATGGTTTATTGATAAATAGATGAACTAATCCAAAAATTCAAATATAAAAAAAAATCGACTTGTGACCGATCAAAAGTGATAATTATCTTATGTGCTGCACACATTCGTGAATTAATGTATTGTTCAGTCACTAGTTGAATATTTTTCTATATTTATTCTTTAACAAATTATGTACACTAATTACATACTCAAATAGATCAGGTGCAGTATTTGTGAATTTCATTGGATAACCCTAAAATGACAAAATATGATATCTTACAATTGCAGGTTCATTCAATGTTCAGGGTTTATTATGGCATACAGAGGGTAATACCATTCTGCTGATGAGTAAGGATCAGATGTGTGTATGTTATCTTACTGATAACACAGCAGAGACAGCAGCATAAACCAATATAAAGACAGTACTAAAATGTGGATTGAATTGTGATGTCATACCGACGAGAGGTGTATAACCATCAAATGTAGACAGGGATACGTTCTATGTACATGAACGACAGTGTGTTTATAATTTATAAATGTAATATTAGGAGGGAAGTATTATTGTACTTGAAGTTTGAGCCTGTTATATCAAAAAATAAGCTGAGGAATTCTCAAAATGTTGCAGACTGTTTTCAGTAAGTTAGGTATGAGAATTCAACTTTAATATATGGATATGAAGAGAACAAAACAGCAAACTAAAATGGGGTTTTTGAAAAACAAAACCTAAACAGAAAGATATTATTATTGTACATATTTGACCTAAACAATCATAGAACTTTGTGTAAAACTTCTGACAATCTTGCTTTTTGGGGGGATTTTTTTTCAAAAGATTTATCCAAGATAAAAAAAAAACAAGTTAAAGATTTGAATTTGATTTTGTTGTTGGATTGTTTTCCATGTTTTAACTGTGTAAATTAAACTTAAAAAGAAAATAAGGCTTCATGCTGAAAAAATGAAATTGTCTGTAGGAGCTTGAGATTTATTCTTACCAAATTTGTTTAAGAATACTCAGATTTAACCAGTATATTGCTTCATACATATCCAATTTGTTGGTACATTCCATTTTGACAATTTTTCCGTCCAAGAACCAAAACCATTTATTTGTATAGTGCTATTTGATACACTGAAATCTGTTAAATCTAAACATATTTTGAATTAGGCCGATATCTGGTTTTTTGTGTTGTCGGGATGCTGCCTCATTGAAGTATACCCCACATCTTCTTTTATTCATATTTACTTTTACAAATTGAATTCTTGTACATCTTCTGAGTCTTTCCAACTTAAGCTTGTCTTTCTGTATGTACTAATTTTGTTTTCATAACATGTAATTTGAATTGGAATTCAGCCATTAAAAATTCTTAAGACATATTCAAAATCATTAATACATATTCAAAATCCTGAAGACATAGTGTACCTACCTCATGGGTAGTCAAGGTAAACACCCCCTAGCTAGTAGTAGTTAAGCCACAGTCCTTTTTCATAATACATAATTGCATTTTTCTTTTTTGGTGAAAAAAATGCATCGTAAACCAGGTGATATGATAAATTGGACAATGTTTAGACAAAATCTATTTTCTACTCAGATTGGACAAAAAATGTTCACCAAAAATTTAGATCAGAATTTTTGTTCCAAAATCCCATGTCCTGTCCAACTCATATTTTGGAAATATTTTTTTCTTACCAAGAAAGTGAATAGTGAATTAAATGATTAGAACAAATAGATTTTTGGAATTTTGACAGATTTCATTGTATGTAGTAATTTTATTGTGAATGTAATAATGTTATTATATATATTGAAAAATTGAAAGCATTTAGTTTTATTTAATCATTTACATTATATTATTATGTGACAATTACTAAAAATAAACCATTATAAAGATTGCTAGTCTATCTTTAAAGCCATCTTTAGATTTATTCTGTGTTAACATCAGCTAAGAAAGAAAGAAAATAAAAAATTTCTACAACATTTTCACCTTTGCTTGGGTGCTTTAAGCAACTGGTCTGTTTGATTGAAGAAAGCTTGAATTTGAGAAGAATATAATTATACCCCACGCAACGAGTTGCGGAGGGTATAATGTTTTTGACCTGTCCGTCCGTTAGTCCGTCCATCCGTCCATTAGTCCGTCCGTCAGTCCTGTTTCTTGTCATCGCAACTCCTCTCAAACCACACAACAGAATTTCACGAAACCTTTTTAATTAATAAGGACATACTATGTAGTTGTGCATATCGACAGGAAATTACGATTCAATTATTTTTCTAGGAGTTACGCCCCTTTGAACTTATTTACTTTAATGTACTACTGCAACAGTTTGTCATCACAACTCCTCTCAAACCACACAACAGAATTTTATGAAACCTTTTCAGATAATAAGGACATACTACGTAGATGTGCATATCGACAGGAAATTATGATTCAATTTTTTTTCCAGTAGTTACGCCCCTTTGAACTTATTTGCCCAATATACTACTGCAACCTTTTGTCATCGCAACTCCTCTCAAACCACACAACAGAATTCCATGAAACCTTTTCAGATAATAAGGACATACTACTTAGATGTGCATATCGACAGGAAATTACGATTCAATTTTTTTCCCAGGAGTTATGCCCCTTTGAACTTATTTGCCCAATATACTACTGCAACCTTTTGTCATCGCAATTCCTCTCAAACCACACAACAGAATTTCATGAAACCTTTTTCAGATAATAAGGACATACTACTTAGATGTGCATATCGACAGGAAATTAAGATTCAATTTTTTTTCCAGGAGTTACGCCCCTTTGAACTTATTGCCCAATATACCACTGCAACCTTTTGTCATCGCAATTCCTCTCAAACCACACAACAGAATTCCATGAAACCTTTTTCAGATAATAAGGACATACTACTTAGATGTGCATATCAACAGGAAATTAAGATTCAATTTTTTTTCCAGGAGTTATGCCCCTTTGAACTTATTTGCCCAATATACTACTGCAACCTTTTGTCATCGCAACTCCTCTCAAACCACCCAACAGAATTTCATGAAACCTTTTCAGATAATAAGGACATACTACGTAGATGTGCATATCGACAGGAAATTACGATTCAATATTTTTTCCAGGAGTTACGCCCCTTTGAACTTATTTGCCAAATATACTACTGCAACCTTTTGTCATCGCAACTCCTCTCAAACCACACAACAGAATTTCATGAAACCTTTTCAGATAATAAGGACATACTATGTAGATGTGCATATTGACAGGAAATTATGATTCAATTTTTTTTCTGATACAATTTTTTTTTCTTACACTTATATTATTTCTCCAATAACAATGTGGGGACGTGGGGTATGTGAGCGCGCTCACTAAGGTTCTTTAATTATTATTTGATATTTCATTTAACATTAAATTAAGTTTTCTCATTAAAAACCAAATCATATGTCTTGGTGTGAAAACAAATCAGGTGTTTGTCTTTGACTATTCATATATGGTGAACCAACACCTGAAGTAGTGATTTTGCAGTAGGTAAATAAACTATTCCTCAAAAAGGGCAAACCATGTGTGTTTTCTTTGTGCATCTCCTCGACATTAATCACTGAACAGAATTCCAGGTTCCACAAAAGAAGTACTTGGTATAGGCTATAGATATATGGTATTTTCTAGTTATGTTTTTCTCTGTATAGACCATTGTGATGTATTCATATAAGAACCATAAGAAGTACTTGGGATAGGCTATAAACATTTTGTTAACTGCAGTTGTGATAAAATTCTGTTCAAAGTTTTAGCCACACATAAGCTTTGTACAAAAGTTTGGTAAGATTTGGCTTTGTAGTTCCAGATAAGAAATTTAAAAATTGATCGATCAAAATCAATAACTGAATCTGGTGGCCATTTTTTCCCAAATCCAATTAGAATAGAGAAAAGAATTTATAATAAGACCCTACATTCATTATGCCAATGAGACAACTATCCACCATAGTTCAAATGAAGTGGATATAAGCAATTATGGGTCACCATATCACCATACAGCCTTCATCAATGACAACAACCCATACCATATAGTCAGCTATAAAAGGTCCTGTTAGGAAAAATGTGAAACAATTTAACCAAGACAACTAACAGCCACATTTAAAACAACACAACTTAAAATAAACTTATAAATGATATGAACCAACAACAATCCCTGGGTAACAGGTTCTTGACTTAGGACAGACACCTACAGAATGTGAGAGGTTTAACATGTTTGTGAGCGTTTAAACAACCACTAACCTGGAACAGTTGTGTAACAGCATAATATACAGATACAGGACAAATAGTAAAAATCAGTTACAAATGGATTAACTCAATATATCAGTAAGAAGCACAAAAAACAACTAGCACTAAAGCAATAGACACAAAGCACTAATATAAGAGTACAGTTACTGAAAGCTAGTTCAAAGCCAATTACAACTAAAAAATAAAATAAATCATGTTCTGCCAGGTAGTATCATTCAGTACACATCCAATGGATTTTGCTATGACAGTCTTAATAAATGCATGACCTTCTGCAATGCTAAAATATAAGTAAACAGTATCAAAGTATCAACAGGATCTAGGATCATGAGTACTCAGAGCTATACATATTTAGTTATACATTATTAGTTACATTTTAGTTTTTCAACAACAAAGGAAATGTAAGTACCGATAAAAATAATGTTAAATTAATTGATATCCTTTAAGAATTTCTTTTTTTAAAGTATCAATGAATTTACATAGATAGTATCTAAACTTATGGGCTATATAAACAACATCACTGAAAATAAGGATGTGACATTTTTTTTTAATATGAATTCTACAACCAAATCTTTGTATCAATGAAAGAATTTAGTAAAAGTTTTTATTAATTTGTGGTAACAAAATCCCTGACTTAATAGTTTACCAGAGATCTCACAAAAAATGTTAAACCCGGCCTGTCCCAAGTCAGGAGCCTCTGGCCTTTGCTAGTCTTGTTTTGTTTTTTTTAATTTTAGTTCATTTATATGTTTTGGAGTTTAGTATGATGTCCATTTTCACTGAACTAGTACACATTTTTGTTTAGGGGCCAGCTGAAGCCCGCCTCCGGGTGCAGGATTTTCTCGCTGTGTTGAAGACCCATTGGTGGCCTTCAGCTGTTATTTTGCTCTTTGGTGGGGTTGTTGTCTCTTTGACACATTCCCCATTTCCATTCTCAATTTTATACATAAATTACGGTCCTTAAAATCTAAAACTAGACTACAGACAATGGGTATAGCAAACAAGTTGTAAAATATACACATTGTAAGAAGAGGTCATAGAAAATAATCACTGTAAAACAAAGGGAAAATGAACAATATCTGTAACAGTAAGTGTTTTTAAATTCATTAATTAAATGTAATTTAGATTTATCTTTTCTGAGTTTGGCAAGAAACTGTGTTTCATATCAATACAGGATCAAGTCTGGCGCAATTGATGCCCATAAGAATGCCTACAACCTGTCTATAAACTATTGCCAAAACCTACATAGAACTTGTCAAGCAGAAATTTTACAGCTGTGATCATCTCTTTATGATAAATTTGGTTAAAAATTGACAGATGTCAATAGTTGCAATACTTAAGATAATGGAAGAGGCAGGAAATTATTGAGTTATCCCATAAAAAGATATTAAAGTAAAAAATATTCATTAAAAAATAGCAGACATCATACATTTTAACGTGTGCAGTGCTTGTTGTCATGAGAATAAACAGATTAACTCCATATGGCCTACATTGTTATACATGTATGAGAATATCATTCCATACAATCTACACATCCTCTTTTCAGAAATACACTGATCTAAACAAATTAAAGAAATTTCTTGAAATCTTTTCTGTTTATCAGATCATTTGTTTATGTAAATGATGATTTATCAAATTTTATCCTACAAAGGATATATTTTTGGTACCATTTTGGATGGGTTTTGTTGATTACATTTCTTTAATGCTATATACCAAAAATTTGCCACATGTAAAACAAATTGTAGACAGAGCAGATCTGAATAAGTTTGCTCAAAATGTAACTTTTAAAATTTGATTTTGGACATTTGCAATCAAGTTGCTGACCTAGGTTTGCTAAAACAGCATGATTTTTTAAATACACATTGCTTAGTTTACATGTACATAATGTATTAGTTTGTGATTAGATCTGAGTTTAAGATGAACTATAGTGATATATGGTATGCAAATGTATTGGCATTTGCAAGTCTCATTTCCATGGAGATTATAATTTTGGCCCCACCCCCTCATCATGGTTCATTGTCTTTGAAACTCTTACATAGTTTACATGTTAATGTTTGTTTAGGTTTGTTTAAAGGGAACGACTTATGATAAGTCAATGGTATTTGGTATGCAGTTGTATAAGCATTGGCACATCTCATTTCCTTGGAGATTGTTTGGCCCTGTACCTTCAGTCATAGTTCATTGACTTTGAATATTTTGCATAACTTACATGTTAAAGTATTGCTATTTTAATTTCAACATTTGAGTTATTTCGAAAAGGCGAGACATATCTCTGTGTTAACAGATTATTATTAAACTCACTAGGCCAAATAAACCACAAAATGTACTTGTCCTTTTGCATAGTTTACATGTCTTTTTTAAATTTGTCATTTAACCATATATATATATATGCAACCACTTATGGATAAGTCAGTAATATTTGGTATGCAGAACATCCAATTAAACATAGTTTGCCCTCCTCTTTAAGATGTGGTTCATTGATAATGTAATATTTACCTGGTATGACCTCTGGTATGTAGTAAGTACACAAGGAGATGTGGTAAAATTGTCAATGAAACAACCAAGGTCATCATATGACCTAAGCAATGAGAAGATCTGACACTGTACAAATAGAACATAAAATAATG